GACGGCAGGGAGCTGTCAGGGTCTTGTGTGGCTGAGGCTAACGCCGCCATAAGGTTGAGGCGGAAAGGCTGGCCTGGGCTGACTGATTGCATTTGCGCAATGTCAAGGTCTAAGGCTTGGCAAAGATGGGCCAGCGCTTGGGCTTGTTCTTCCTGGGACAGGGGGTGTTCAGGGCGACCTTGACTTATGTGGCTAAAGACCCGTTTAGGCAAATCTGAGGCGGCCCCCCATGCCAGGAGGGCCGAAGCGGCCTTAGATAGACCTGAAGAGGAGGGGATGCTGCGATTGGCTGAGCTTACCGATCCCGCTCCATCGCATATTGGAGGCCTAGAGGCTACGAAGGGGTTGTCCCTGTTAAGCAGGGATCGGAGGGAGCCGCTCTTGTCCTGTGAGGCTCCTAGAGATAGGCAAGAGAGTCGTCCGGCTACCTCCAGGGCTGTTAGTCTGTCTTCTTGTACCGGCCAGGTCGGTAGGGTGCAAGAACAGAGGAAATCATTGTCTCCGTCGGGACACGGGCACAGATGGAGGCCGGAGTCGTGCACGGCGGCCACGAAGGCTTCTGAGGCCCAGAGGAAATGCATCCTGTCCAGCATGAGAAATAAAGAGGTACCTGAGGCTCGGGCTGCTTGTATGATGCTGGAAGCCGCCTCCTCCCCCGAGGCGAAAGTATCTAAGCACCCTATGATGGCCGCGACGGATCTGCACCAAAGGCATTGTAGGAGATCCTCTCGGCTGGCCTCATCCAATTTGGCGGGCAGAATGATATGTGCGCACTGCAGCTTTTCGATCTCATCTGCACAGCTGTTGGACATAGGGCTGTCTCTGGCGACTACTAAGGCTTTAGGCTCGCGGAAAGTGTGCTCTTGCCTGGCTTTCTTATAGGCTGGGGATGTCCAGACGCGGTTGGCAAATCGTCTAGATGAGCGTGGGCCCATTCCTGGGCGGGGCCCGGGATCTGTAGTCACCTGGGGCGCAGCCCTGGCTGAGGCTTCTGGGGGCAGCACAGTCCCTGAGGCGGTGGCCGGCGTGGGAAGATTCGGGCTCGTGATAGCGTCAGCTGGGGCTGTACGCTGAGACGTGCTCCGCTCTTGTTGGGGATCCACCTGGGCAGTGGAGGCTGCAGCTTGCGTCCCTAGTCAAGAGGGCTTCCCGTCATGGTGAATGGCACAGTGCTCCTTGCCACAACCTCGGACCGCACAGAGGTGGGCAAACTTGCAATCAGGTAGGCTGCAGGCATTTCGCTGGTAGCGCTTGCATAGGACCTTACCGTGAGCTTTGAAGACCCAATTGCTTGGCCAATCCTCGGCTTTTGGGGGGATTTATTGAGGCCTCTTCCTCCACGACCTCGGCCTTTGGGGTTCTTGGGGGCGCTGGAAGGCTGGGTTCGGAGGCGCTTGCCAGGCGGCGGTGCTGGTGTATTAGGCCTGTCTGTGCGCTTAGGCGGTGTAGGAGGCTGGGTAGGCTTAGGGCGAGGCTGCAACATGTTGCTGAGGTCGCTGCGTATGGCTGTGACCTCGTAGAAGGCTTCGTCTA